TTATTCACATTTACATAACTTACTCTGAACAGCTTGAGCTTTCTTAGAATCTACAGAGTTGGCGCACTTTTGACATGGAAAGTAAAGAGTTCAGTGGTTTTCAAAGTTAAATGCAAGCTTAAGTTCTTCAGCCAACTAGGATAAATTGTTTGGGACCATGAATGCTGTAGGGGTGGTAAAAACAAAACAGCCATTTTGCCTGCTAAATCCTACTAATTGCAGCTGAAGGTACACGCCAGCATGCCAGTGCAAGTAGATAAATAGGTGCCACTGTGGCAGGAAGGTAAACAGCGTTTCCGTGTGCTCTGGTTTCTGTCATGGTGTTCCATTGCGCCAGAAGTGGTTTAGTCACGCTGGCCACATGACCCAGAAAGTTGTCTGTGGACAAACACTGGCTCCATTGGCCTGAAAGCAAGATAAACGTCACAACCCCATAGTCACCGTTGACTGGACTTAACCATCCAGGGGTCCTTTACCTTACCTTTACCTTACATTGAACTGATCGTGTGAACAAATTTTGTCATGCAAAAGTAGTTTTTGGATGGCTAGAAACCATGAGCACCATCGCCACTCCAGAAATAATTTTACTATTGATTGCTCCTTCCTATTCTGTGGATCCTCTAGTTCTACTTGTGCTTTTAGCAAACGGCATGGTGAAAGTTCCATAAGACAGCTTCAATTCATGATTTACTTGTGGGGAAAGCAGTGGAACAGAGACAAATTCTTTCATCTTCAAATATGGAACTACCCTAAAAGTAAAGGGACCCCTGTCCGATGTGGACAGACTCCTCCGAGCTGGAAAGCCCACCACCTGTCCTCTCGACCCGTGCCCATCTTGGCTGATTAGAGCGTGTCCAGACGAGGTGCGAGCCCTCCTGGGGGATATCATCAATTTGTCCCTTGGCACGGGGACATTCCCAGGGGAACTGAAGGAGGCAGTGGTGCGCCCGCTCTTAAAGAAAACATCATTAGATCCTTTAGATCTATCCAATTACCGCCTGGTTTCGAATCTTCCATTCCTGGGTAAAGTGATTGAGAGAACGGTTGCTGAACAGCTTGGTGGGTTTCTGGATGAAACATTGGCTCTGGATCCATTCCAGTCCGGCTTCCGCTCTGGTCATGGGACCGAGACGGCTCTGGTCGCCCTAACAGATGATCTTCGTAGACAGCTGGATCGAGGCGGGTCGGGGCTGCTGATTCTTCTAGATCTGTCAGCAGCTTTCGACATGGTCGATCACGAACTTCTGGGCCACCACCTTGCTGACGTAGGGATCCAGGGCACAGTCTTTCAATGGCTGCGCTCGTTTTTCTCTGGTCGGGGACAGAGGGTGGCGCTTGGGGGGGAATTGTCATCGCGCCACTCCTTGGTGTGTGGAGTACCTCAGGGTGCGATACTCTCCCCGATGCTTTTCAACATCTTTATGCGCCCCCCTCGCCCAGCTTGTTCGGAGTTTTGGGCTGGGTTGCCATCAGTATGCCGATGACACCCAACTCTATCTGTTGATGGATGGCCATCCTGACTCGGCCCCAGACACACTGACCAGATGTTTGGAAGCTGTGGCTGGATGGTTACGTGGGAGCCGGTTGAAGCTAAATCCTTCGAAGACAGAGGTCCTGTGGCTGGGATGGGGCGATATGGGATTGGGGGGGCAACTCCCATCTCTTGCGGGGGCGCAATTAGTGCCAGCACCGTCCGTTAAGAGTTTGGGTGTAATCTTCGACACCTCCCTTTCCATGGAGGCACAGATTGCATCTATAACAAAGGCAGCATTTTTCCATCTCCGCCAAGCTAAGCAGTCGGCTCCTTACCTCTCTCGCCCTGACCTAGCCACTGTGATCCACGCGACGGTCACCTCCAGACTGGATTATTGTAACTCGCTCTACGTGGGGCTGCCCTTGAGACTGACCCAGAAACTCCAGTGGGTGCAGAATGCTGCAGCGAGACTCCTTACGAGGTCTTCGCTGCGAGATCACATTCACCCGGTGCTATACCAGCTGCACTGGCTCCCGGTGGAGTACAGGATCAGGTTTAAGGTGCTGGTTTTAACCTTTAAAGCCCTATACGGCCTAGGACCCTCGTATCTACGGGACCGCCTCTCCTGGTATGCCCCACAGAGAAACTTACGGTCTTCAAATAAAAACATCTTGAAGGTCCCAGGCCACAGAGAAGTTAGGCTGGCCTCAACTAGAGCCAGGGCTTTTTTGGCTGTGGCTCCGATCTGGTGGAACACTCTGTCACAAGAGACCAGGGCCCTGCGGGACTTGACATCTTTCCACAGGGCCTGCAAGACAGAGCTGCTCCACCAGGCCTTTGGCCAGGGCGCAGCCTGACTCCCTCCCTCAGCAATCTTCGCGGAGCTCTGGCCCAATGGTTGCCAGTGGCTTGAATTAATTAATTTTATAATGAATGATTTTAGAGTGTTGTTTATGCTGTACTTTTATACTGTTTTATTGTTGTTAGCCGCCCTGAGCCCGGCTTCGGCTGGGGAGGGCGGGATATAAATAAAATTTATTATTATTATTATTATTATTATTATTATTATTATTAGGTTCAGTTGTGACCGACTCTGGGGTTGTGGCGCTCATCTCACTTTATTGGCCGAGGGAGCTGGCGTACAGCTTCCGGGTCATGTGGCCAGCATGACTAAGCCACTTCTGGCAAACCAGAGCAGCGCACGGAAACGCCATTTACCTTCCCGCCGGAGCGGAACCTATTTATCTACTTGCACTTTGTGCTTTCAAACTGCTAGGTTGGCAGGCTCAGGGACCAAGCAATGGGAGCTCACCCCGTCGTGGGGATTCAAACCACCGACCTTCTGATCGGCAAGTCCTAGGCTCTGTGGTTTAACCCACAGCACCACCCACGTCCCATGGAACTACCCTAAGGATGGACAAATGCCAGATGTGGTTACGCCCAGTTTCTCCACACACACACACCCATCTTAAGTTCAGTTGAAGGCCTGCCCATATCAGTTTGCAATTTTAAAAGAGTCTGCATTAAAAATTGTATGCCATTTCAGTTCATTTCTCCTAAAATGCACATTTTTGTACGTTATTTCCCCCTAATTTTGCATTTTTATCAGCACTTTACCCAAAAATATTTTTGGTACACATTTTCTGGGAGAACTGCATCACAAAATTCAGAGAAGTGCAAATTTCAAAGGATAGCTGTGATTTAGTTCGTGTATTGGTTCAAGAAATGTGAATGAGGCAGGTTTGCATGAAATGTAAATCCAACACATTTCTCCCCCATCCTTAGACAACTCCCATGAGATCTCCATCAAGTTGTGTCACAGAGCCAAAAAATCAAAGACGTACCTGGTAGGGTTGCTGGGGGGACGGGGTGATGCATATTTTCAGATCATCATAGCTGCAGGAATGGCATCACTGCTGCTTAATTCTGTGCCCTGTTGCCCCAGGTTTTTAGAAGCTAAGTACCATATTTTTCCATGTATAACACGTCCCCATGTATAAGACAACCCCTATTTTTGGGACCGCAACAAAAAATGGGGGGGGGGTGCTCAGCTCAAAGTTGTTGAGCTTTTTTTGTGGGGGAAGAATTACAGAATTACTGAGCTTTTCTTTTTGAGTACCCACCACTCACGCATCAATGTGGGGCCACCAATCATCTGCACATTTGCCACCAAAAGACCACCTGCCCACTCAACGCAACTACAGCCGATTGCACGCACACCTCACTGCCACAGCCAATTGTCAGTAGGCCTTGCCGCAGCAACCAATCACACACCCAATCACCACTGCCAATCTCCTGCTGGCTGCTGCCACGAATCGCCCACCCCACCCCCCCGCTTTCCGTGTATAAGATGACCTGCAATTTTTGACTATTATTTCTAAGGGGGGATATCGTCTTATACACGGGAAAATACGGTACTTCATGACCCCTCTTCCTGCTTCTGGATACAAAGGAAATGTTGAAAAAACAGTGTAATAATATTTAAATTCACACTCTCGCCCTTTGAGAGCTTCCAGTGTCTTTGGCCTGAATTAATTTGCTTGCATAAAACCCACTAATAATCTTTTAAAAAATCTACTGAGAAAGAATTGCAGAGCTGCACCCATACATTACATTGCCCTCCCAGTTTTTCTCCCCCATAGAAATTAGTTTGCACCTGGTTCGCATCAGTGAATTTAAACTGAGCTTAGGTGTACCAATTAGTGCAGTACAAATTAAGAATTTGTGAAGTGGTAATCACCTCTGCAAATCTGAAGCATAGTTTTCCCATTCACAAACATGTAATGAAATATGTTTGTTTTTTCCTGGTTGTGTTGGTGATAGGGGGGAATCGGCTTATGTGAACACGTATTCAAATAGTTATGCCTGTGTACCTCATAGAGCTCCCCCTTCCTCCTCGCCTCTTGAAATCACAGCACCTATGCCTGCTATCTAACACCTTTTTTTTTTTTACTGCCAAAGAGAATGTAACCATTGATCTGACACTACAAGTGGGTTGCAAGCACAAGTGATTTTCAAGCAATCATACGTAATTATAGAATGAGGCAAAGTGCCTTATAATGTGGGAAGATATTTTCAGAGGAGGGCAGTCATTATTCTCACCCCAACATACAAGTCACAGTGTTTACACACTCAGGCATTTTCTATTTCCTGAAATGTATCACATTTTAGACCATATTAGAGCACAATAGCAACTGAATGTGTAGGTACACATTGCTTTCAAAACAAAAAAATCAGAGCTGCATGCAGAGTAGACCCAGGGAATCATTGGGCTCTAGGTTAGCCATGACCCTCTTTGAGAGATATTTGACTCATTTGCCTGGCCTTGGACACCAGAATGCCAGAGAACATTTGGTTATCAATCAGCATCCTAATAACACCTCAAATTAATCGGACAACGATACTACCCACCAAGAGCTATCTTTGACTTCCACTAAAACCAGCAGGCAGCCTGGTGGAACTGGATTGCTCCCCTGACCTTTCTCCAACTAAGTTCCTGCTGCATAGAAGGATGGAAAAGGGGAGGGTGTGTGATAAGATCACCATGGTTAGAGCATGGTGCTGATAACGCCTAGGTTGCAGGTTCGATTCCAGCTGCATATTCCTGCACTGGAGGAGGGGGGTTGGACCAGATGATCCTCTGCTTCCCTTCCAATTCTACCATTTTATGATTCTAAGTGCATAGCAAAGGAACCTCATATGCACACTTCATACATTTCTGTTGGGCTTTTTCATACCTTTTATATATCTTGAGGTATATTCACTTTCTTCATATCTCGCTGTCAGGACCAACACAGGCTTCATTATAAGCAGCTGCTGAGCAGGTTCAGGCAAGTTAGCAATGTTCTTACTGGGGAGGCAGTGGGAAGAAGGGCTCACAACCCTCTGATAACTCACTCATTTTTATTTTTATTTCAATTCAAAGCCTCCTGGAGGTGTGAACAAAAATCAGCACCAAAATGTTAACACTTCTTTCTCTTAATAGCTCATCAACATAAAGCCATGATCTTGCTGTTAAGTTTTTGCCCCACCCCCCAAAAAAATAATGGTTTTGGTCATGTATATACGTTCCATGTTTCTTATTTTACATGCATTTTAATTTTGTGTGTGTGTGTGAGCGAGAGAGAGAGAGAGAGAGAGAGAGAGAGAGAGAGAGAGAGACTTAGCTTAATGCCCTATTGGTGATATTCTTATTATTTATTCATTTAAAAAAGGCTATAGGATCAAACTAATACAGAAAAATCTCTGCAACCACAACAGGCACTGTGATTCTCCATTGGTTTGATCACCCCCAGAGATCAGAAAGTTTTTCCAAAATTTTAGTTGGAATTTCCTTTCTTGTCACTTGAAGCCATTGGTTCCAGTCCTAAGCTCCAGAGCAGGAGAAAAACATGTTCCCTCTTCCATGTGACAGCCATCCTGGCTATCATCTCTCCTCTCAGTCTCCTCTTTTCCAGGCTAAACATACCCAGCTCCTTCAAGCACTTCTCATAAGGCTTCGTTTCCAGACCCTTGATCATCTTGGTTGCCCTCCTCTGCACACATTCCAGCTTGTCAACATCCTTCTTATATTAAGGGGCTCAGCCTGCTTTAGGGAAGTTTTGTTTGATGTATTTATCGTGCTTTTAATATTCTATTGGTAGCCTCCCAAAGTGGCTTGGGAAACTCAGCCAGATGGGTGAGGTATAAATAATAAAATAGTAGTAGTAGTAGTTAATAGTTAGTATTGATAGAACAGGAGAAGCTGTGGTTCCCCTGTGGCTTCTGAACTGGAGGCCTCAGACAGAGGCAAATGGCACAATGGGCTGCTCTTGTGCAAGTGCTTCTGGCTGAACACATATACCTGGAGCTGGCTCTGATGAAGGGGAGTCTGACCCCAAGGCTGTGTCAAATAGTGATAGATTGATAAGCTAAGGATGTACACTTGACCCCAAATAAGATCCAAGTCACTAACTGGGACACTGTTTCTAGCTGTTTCTGTAAGATCAAAGTGGTCCCATTCCTGATTGCTTTTGGCAGGTAGAAATCATTCGTTTTCTGCCTGGCTTGTAATAATTTTTAATTTGATTGAGGGTGTTGACTTTGCTCTTCTTGACTTTTAATGTTTGATTGAATTCTGCTACTGTTAAATTGATTTTTGCCTTTTCTGCTTTGTAAATCATATTGGGGGCCCTTAATAGGGCCAAAAGTCAGCATAAAGATATTTTAAAAAATAAATGAATTCATATATATATCCTTGTAAATGTTACTGGTGTGCCTGAAGCAATAAAAAAACCTTCTAAAGAACACATGAGATCACAGACAATATTTTCCAGTTAGAGAGAGAGGTGTGATCATTCACCTTTCATTAATGCTGTCCAGTGCAATCATTTCTTCTCATGACTGCAGCTTCAGTAGCATATTTTCCCCAAGTTGGTTGTTCCTCTGTTGTCCTCAGATAGTCACAGGAATGATCCTAGCCAAACAGGGTCATAAATTAACTGATGATGTAGTGTGGCATGGCCAATTAGATCTGGCTAACTGATGATGTCACAGAGAAAGTGTGGAGTACCAAATAAATCAAGAAAAAAGACATGATTTTCAGTAATGGCAAAATCACATTTATGCACACATACACCTATGTGTGTGCGCGCGCGCATGCATGTGTAAAAACATGCAAGTACTTTCAGCTCGGTCTTGCCAAGCCCTAGTTATAATATTTAATAAAACATGTAAATCCCTTGCATATCACTGCCTTGACCATCTAGTCTTGGTTAAAGACTGTTTCTCCATGAGACTATGAAGGAGTAGCCCCAGAAGTAGCAGCAAACAGGAGGTCATCAGGATTTGTGCTTGGGGAAAACTCACAGGAAACATTCTGAGCACTGTGATGATGGGAATATGACTCATTAAACGCAGATCTCTAGGCAATGAACATTATCTGTTTGTTCTCCATTTTCATTTCTGTCTCATAGCTTTGAGTAAATAAATTGTGTTTCTGCCTAATGCATGACTCACTGCATTTTATAAATTAAAGCTAAGTGACTACAATCTCCTTAGATAGGCAACACCAGAAATCGCTCTTCAGCTTATTTTGAACTTGCAGCTATTTGGTGTGGAAATCATAAAAGGGGAATTAGCCAATAGTTCAAATGTTCCCAGCAAAATTAGTGCAAATGGCAAAGCTACATTGAAGAAGAAAAAATCAATCAGTGAAATGCCACCAACAGAATAAGGTTAAGTGAAGACAGGGACACAGGAAGAGATGGTTTTCTACTCCCCCTCTGCAAGTGGTTTCGAGAAATGGTTCAGATAAATATAAAGTTTTTGTTATGACATGGAACAGTGGGGCATTCCAATAAATTCTCTTTCTTCTGTGGTCCCAGTGAGACTTGCATTCTTCCACAGTTGAAAATTTCTTCCACTTTTTTTTGAGATTCAGGAAAGACAAGTAACAACGTATCCTTGGAAAATGATACCTGCAGTGTTACAGTCTGACAGAAGAACCGGATGAAGTAAAACAGGTTATAGCTCAGCTGCAAGCAAGGAAACCCCATGCCTGGCATTCAGTTGCCTGCTTCAATGCCTATGCCATAGTATCAGACAGAATTGTCTTTTTCAGGCAGGGTGGAAGAAGCAGGAGGCTCCACCAAAGGCAGGAAGGGGTGGAGTCATGAGACTATTTAAGCCCTTGTTTCACTCCAGCCTGGGATCTGTAAAAAAATTCTCAGCACCCTTCCACCCTTACAGTGCGGGTTCTTACTGGCTACCTTGGGGTCAACTAGAAATTGTTGGCCTATCTCTGCATCAGCCTGGTGGATGGGTGGTATTTTGCCCACTTGCTACTGTAGTTCTTGTAGTCTGATGGCAGTTACAGTGCAGGTGCTGTTAGTTAAGTGGACTGTTCACACTGAGTAGGAAGGTGTGTGAAGGTTAATAGGTATGGTATGAGTTAAGGTGAGTTGCCTTTATGCACCTTGGAGGGTAACAGATAATAATAATAATAATAATAATAATAATAATAATAATAATTTATTTATACCCTGCCCATCTGGCTGTGTTTCTCCAGCCACTCTAGGTGGCTTCCAACAAAATATTAAAATACAGCAACCCATCAAACATTAAAAGCTTCCCTAAACAGGGCTGCCTTCAGATGTCTTCTAAAAGTCTGGTAGCTGTTTTTCTTCTTGACATCTAGTGGGAGGGTGTTACACAGGGCGGGTGCCACTACCAAGAAGGCCCTCTGCCTGGTTCCCTGTAACTTGGTTTCTCACAGTGAGGGAACCGCCAGAAGGCCCGCGGAACTGGACCCAAGACTTGCCACTCAGGGCTGTGAGACTATGAATAGGATAAAGAGAATTTCTGAAGCTAACCTGAGTTATCCCATTAGAGTTACTGGGGTCCAAAAGTGGGGGACTTGGAGCCCAATAGTGGGAGACTTGGGAAGGATTCCCTACTCACCTGAATTTGTGTGGTTTAAGGACTCTCATTATTCAAGGGATTTGCTTGTCCAATACAGATAAGACCGCATAAATCCGATAATTCCTGCAGTGTCACCATCCACTGCAAAAACTTAATTGTAAGCTAATAAAATATGGCCCTAGTTCTAATAAAGCTCTTTGTATCTTCCCTTTCTTCCCACCTCTGGCCAGAGAAGATATTAAAAATAAAATTATCAAGTTTTCTTTCTGCTTCCTGAGAACTGTTTTTTCTTTTTCTGTCATCAGAAAAACCATCGTAAGCTCCACCTAGCAAACTGGTTAAGAAGATTCTGAAGCACACTTTTGAGGGTTGATCATGGAATAAGGCAGCAGGATGGGGCCCCAAAAGAAACATAATGAGAGAAATTATCTTGATATGAACATAGCTAGTTAAAATTCTTCTCCTTTGAAAAAGCCTACCCTTTTTGGATTATAAACACGAAGGGTGGTAGGCTTTGAACTGTTTGAAAACACTTTTATGTGCTGTTGGGATCTTTTCTGATTACCATTTCTATGTGATACATAACATTTTTTAAAAAATGATATGCAGGCTTTCTGTTGGTTCTCGATGAAATATATTTTCAGATGTGATACCCAGAAGAGGTACCCTTACAATATGAACTACAGACTCATTCCAACTGTTCCATACAGTCTAACTGGCCTTATATCCTCAGGACAGGTTCCTGTTTTCTGGTTTCTGTCCTGGCAAATCTTTGTTCAAATATGGTTCCTATTTGAGCCTTTCTGCAATGCCTTGTTTAATATTTTAAATGTGAGTTGCAAAAATTACCATTCAGTGTCCAGCTTTCTCCCAAGAACCCCTAGAAATTAGAATCTCTGGAAACCTAAAGTGGGGGGGGGAGTACAAAAAGGTGTTTGAACCACTCTGCCCAGTGCCCACTAACATGGTGGAAATAAGGGTGGAGCAACACTCTTGCACTCCTCCATCCTTTTCTGGGTTTAAAAATGTATTTACTGAGTTCCTTGCCGTTGCAAAAACTGTACCAGATCCAGGGCTGTCATGGACACATGTTGGGGGACTAGGAAGTCTATGCATCCATAACTTTTTATTGAGCCCCATACACATTCCAGGACCAAAGGACTGCAGGACCCAGGACTTCAGGCATCATCTGAGGGTACA